TCTCAGAAAATGTAATACATTGTTTTATTAAAATCTAAATAAATGAATGTAATATATATAGTTGATATTATATATTTATATGTATGCTCGTATTATAGTAATATAGGAGTTACATTCCGTCAACTACACGGTGAAAGTCTTGCACAATGAGTAAATTTAAATTTTAAAGAATGAATACGCGTATACGTCTAAAACCCACTTCCAAATTGTGTTTGATTCTCATGCATTACTTATAATATAATATTAATATCTGGTAAAGATGTAACAGTAACGTTATAATATTACAAGCTCTTAATAATACACAGCAGGTGTATACATATATTCAAAAAATATATATATATATAAAAAATAAAAGTAATTCGCGAACGATTCGATAAAAAGATTTTTTTAAATGTTGGTTACCTATATCTACCAATATTGTATAATTGTTATTTGAACGTTTGTTCGTTATAATAACATTTGATTATATTAAAAATATTTTATTATTTATTTAACACATTACATTTATGATTTATTGCAGGTAGAAAAATAATGGTATTCACATTTGATAATATCTCGCGATTTACATCAAAATGCTTAATTTATCGGTATCGCGTTTTATTTCGGTCAATAATGAATATCTCTTGGACAAATTCTTACTGCTATAAATAGTAATGAAGTTATGCGAGTACCCATTTAATGTGTGAGAGTTTTAGACAGATGTTAGTGTATTATTCATCAAGATTGTATTATTTACACGATCCACCGTTTTCCCTCGTCATTTCGATTGCTAAAATTTAAGCGAGACCATTCTCAGAGCAGTATTTACATACATTGAAATTTGTCAATTACTTAGGCATAATATTAATAAAACGTAATCATCGTGTAAATCAATTGTTACCTACGTCATATTGTAAATTTATTACCATAAGTTGTATTAAAATAAACATACATTGTTTATTTTAATTGAGACACATTTATGAGTAAACAGGTGGAAAAAGACGGTTTACTTTTATTTAAAAGTTGATAAAAATAACTATCCATTGTTATTTTATAGAAACAGGATTATTAAAAATAAAAAGTATATACATAAACAGGATTTCAAATGAAAAACAGCAGCTTTGATATTTGTCTCAACTCATAATACTTTACACGAAAATGAAAAAAACTTAAAAACCTGAAATAATTTCAAAAATCATAATTGTTGAATCAAATGTATGAACTGCGAGTTTAACATGAAACATTTGACTTATATGACTTGAGTGCATTCTGAACAACACTATTAAGAAACATAAAAATTATAAATTGCTTATCATAGAACATGGAATTGAATATAATATTGTATAAGAAAGTATAGAATCCTCAGCGTATATAATTATAAAACATTGTATAATTTAAACATAATAATTTTGAATATAATTCTAGTTGAATTTTTATTTTTTATTCATAGATAAATTTCATTTTTCGGTTTCCATTCCTTGATGTCTACATACTTACATACTAAAATGTGTGTCATGTGTATCACTGAACAAGTCTACACAAACGATTAAATTAATTTGTTTATTATTTTTTTTTTGTTTTTGCACGGTGCCGGAAAATCGAGTTGTTCCTAGTATAGTAAAATAAACCATAGCCGAGGGGTTATTACAATTTACTAGGTGTGTAATCCACTTTTCCGTATCATTTCGTCGGGTGCCCTTTTAAAAATTTGTCACGCTTCCACCCCTCGCCACTGACCAAAGATAGTACTATGGTCCCGTCGTCCGGGAAAATTGCGACGAAACGTCGCGCGTCGGCAGTTGATTTACCGCCTTTGTCCTTACATAGTTTCCAGTCCGTTAGTTTTCGTTCGCCCCTCTTTCGCCACTGCTTCCGCCGCCGCCACCGACATCGCCACTCCGGCGGGATTTAATTCCACCGGAATTTTTCTCTGCGCCCAATATGCACGTTAATTGCGGCCGTTTCATTCACCGGTCTTCCTCTCTACCGCGCCTTCCTTCCTGCACTTATTCCCGACCGCTTTTTTTTTCGTTTTTAATTTAATTAAAACGCCCCAGTCGTCTTTGCCGCCGTCGGTAATGGCGGCGGGCCTTTTACCAAAACAAACGGTCTTTATGCGTTAGACGCACCACTCCAAGTCGCTGGATACCTGCAGTACTGTCAGAAAAACGTATTCGCCTGATACGCGGCGGGTTTACCTCACCGAGAACGAAAAAAAGGTCAAACCGGCCGGAATACCGTTGGCTGGCAGTAGTAAAACAGCTCGAGCCGTATAGAATGTGCAAATAGAAAACCATAATACACGACAAAGTCCTGAGACTACTATGTAGTTGCAATTTACATACAAAATGCACCTAAAATACACGCTGACCAATTCAATTTAACAGTTGAAGTGAGTGAATTTATTCCAATCGTCTAACGGTTGCGCACAGATGCGTGTTTAAAATTCAACTTGTCGGTCTGTTCGAATATCCCTAGTATTGGGTAGTTTAAACATAGATTATTTCCATACCTACAGTTAATTGCGAGTTGCTACGTGTCCACGATCACCACAATTTTAAATCTTAAAAAATATTCAGATTCTCCGCTACCATTCACTTCTGGCGTTCATAGGTACTGGCACACACTGTTTTTTTAGCAACATTTCATAATTTTCTCAGGTACAAGTAATACTAGTACAATTTTATATATAAAGTAGTAGTATATCTAAGTAGTCGGTATTTTTAATCTAGTCCACTTTGTGATTAAACCCAAATGAAAGGTACAAACAAAAAATATTATTTGTCATACACATATTTTATTGCTTTAAGAAATCAATCAGATAATACATGTTACAATATATTCTGTGAGTAGTTTTAACTTTTAATTTTTAAATAATAGATAATAGTTTAAATAACTGCACAGTTACATTTTTCGCTGAATGGATTAGATTTCTGCAATGAAAAATCAATCATTAAACAATTTTTTATTTCTAGTTCCCAAATAAACTTTTTAATATCTTGTAGAGCTTGTGAAAAGGGTACTTATATTCGTACGTTTCACCGTTGGTTCTCAACGAAGCTGTTCCGTTATCTATCGCTGCTGTTGCAGGTTACAAATTATCATGTCCACGACTACAGTATTTGATAGGCCTATTTTCGATGGGTGGTACACACATTATCGATATTAACCAATAAATTAGTCATAACTAATCGGTTCAAACGTTATGAACAACAACTGTATGAACTGTAAACGAGATTAAGCTGCAACTTATGAATACAATATTATGATTGATGATAATTGACACCAAACAGTTGACACTTAACAGTTAGCAGCATAAAATGATAATTTTTAAAATAAAATATTGTAAAATATCTCAATGGCCCCTACTAATAGCTCAAATATTGAAAAAACCCACTATTAACTATAAATACAATTTTTACCCAACAACTTACCACTCAAAAATTTAGATCCAGTCTTAAAAAAATCAACTATGGATAGAAGTATTACTACCATTTGAAATAAGACATCATAGCATCGACTAGCTCAGCACCGCCCAGCACAAGAACGCAATGCCCCGCCAACCCAGCAGCAGCAGGCGAAGTCGCACCCGCAGTTGAGGCTGTTGCCAACAGAACGGCAATTCCACCAAGCACACAGATAGCTTTATCAACAACAATTACAGTATCAACAAAGTCATGGACATCCTTATTAGTGACAATATGTCTTCTAGAATTCTTATCAATTTTTATACTAGTTCTCATAACACTATTATCAACACTAGTATTAGAACTACAACCTAGATCGCATGCTCTAACATATGTACAAAATTGTTGAATATTAGATTTATTGAACGATTTAGGCACAGCACGTAAGAGACACTGACGGAAGGAATCACGTGTCAGTACGTTCCCCTGCGGAATTTCGATTGATGAGGAAAAAGGCTCCGCAGGAGCACAATAACAGGAGGAAATTAAAAAACACGAAATTAGTGCAATTGATAAATTGGAAGCATACATGACGGTAATTGACCTGATGTTGCAATTTATGTTGAATCAAGTTGCTTTGACGTTGAAATGTATGTTGGTTGAAGTTGTTTTGAAGATGAAATTTATGTTGATTGAAGTTGATTTAAATTTTCGAAGTTGACGTCTAGATTGACGTTGATTGTACTCAAATTTGTTTTTGATTTTCTGAATTATTCTTTTGATTTACTTTCGTTTGTTTTGAACTTCAATTGACGTTTTATTGTCCCAGTTCAATTTGTAGCTTAAAACATTCGACCCACCGCTGCCAAAAAATATCTTAACGGGTCCGTCCACTTCAGCACTCGAAATTTAAGTATGGTATAATAAGAAGGTACACGATTTAAGTAACACTTATAACTTTGTTAATAGGAACATAATCGTCAAGATAGACTTAATGATTACAATATTCTCTATTCTTATACCGTCTAAGACTCTCTACAATCGCCCGTGACTTTCACATTTAACCTAACCACAGTTACTTTGTTATGATCACATTAGCACGGTGTTTTCCATCAATAGCATTAACCTATGATCTATGATTGTTTTTTCCTATAATAGTATAATATGGATTCATTGAATGTCAATAAATGTCAATGACTACCTACATAACACATATCAGTAAAAATATATTCTAATGAGAATCATTATAGTAGCCATTTAGATTATTTGAATGAATATTCAATTTTAATAAACAGGGAATCTCAGTCTGCTGTATATCATTATATTTCTGTGAAATATTATTACCTATCTAATTGTTAATTATTTGAATACTGAATTATAATTAAAATCATAAATTGTGTCATTGTGATAACTTATTGTATATCATATTTCTTAATTTGTAAGGTACAGTACATCAGTTATCACTCTTATCAGTAAGGAAATTTTATAAAAACCTGTGTACGGTACTGATACGGTAATTTCATTAATTTTCCCCCAACCGTAAACTATTCAGATAATATGGCAACACCGGCTATATTAGACGATGGCACTCATGCGCATGCTCATTTTACATAGTGTTAATAATATATTTTATTTTTGTAATGTTAATAATTTAAATTGTCAGTATTGCCGTATTATGTTTGAACTGTTTGAAGAATAAAAGAGGTTAAACATGGCTGATCATCGGGTCAAGGTGATCAATCTATCGGTTTTAATCCAAATGACGGTACGTTTACTTTTTGAATTATTGAAGTGAATACTTTGTAAGCGACAGCAGACCGTTGAACACATATGAAAAGGGTTACGAATTTCAAAAACTACTGTTTTCAATAATTTCAACGTAACTTGTCGCTAATTATCATCCTGAAAAAATATTCGGGTTCTCTGTAGTATGTACGAGGGAACGATCGAAGCCCAATTTTAATTTTGGTAATTTAGATTGCAGTAAATGTTGTAAGTATTTTCAAACGATCGCAAAATTTCTAACTTAAATATTTCATCAACTAAATACAATTATAAAACTATGTCTCGAAAAATTAGATTATTTTGTCAGACTGAAAATTGAAGTAATCGTTGTGGCGTATTTTTGGAATTAGAGTTGTCTGTTTGAGTGAAAAATAAACTTATATTTAATATTATAATATAATATGTTTCTTATTGTTACCTTGGTATTATTTTTCTGAATTATTATCGGTATACTATTGAATTAATGTATGATTATACTAAATTGATACTTATCTTAAAAATGCGTGGGTGTGTCAATGCACTGTACAAACGACCGAAGTGAATACTTAAATGAATATTCGACGCTTTGATTGGATTTAGGTATATAAAAAATATTATATTAATTGTTTTTAAATATCGTTTATAGTGTTGCGACTTTGCGAGGAATACGTAAACTTAAATAGATGGGCACACAGCGCTTCCCGTACCCCATGTTTGGTGCTTTGGTAATATATACAATGGTTGTATGGTTGTATGATGGTATTATATTGTTATATATTATATTCTGTGGCTCTGGTAGTTTGCAGTTATACTGTCAGGTGTAAATAGTTGTGCAGTAGTTACTTTATTTGTACGGTCAAATACGACTAAGTATGGTATATGGTAACAACGTTGCTACCGTACATCAAAATATATATCAATATGGTATGTTAAGTTCGTACTTTATTGATAAATTAAACCATTTTTGCATACTGACACACACACAGGTTTTTTCCTGTTAGTAAAAACGATAAATTCGCAGCGCCCTCACAGATTGAAATACGAAATGTGTTTTCAAATTTATCTTTTGTAAAAGTATGTTCAAACCATGTTATACGTATCTATATGATGTACCTAAACAATATATTTGGTATTTAATAAATAAATCACGAGTTTTTAAGTATCTATTTCTCGGTTACGACTATTTAAGATATTCAATTTCATAATGTTTTGTACATTGTACCTAGAGATTTACTATTAGCTGAACTGCTACTCTTAAATCAAAATGTTTCGTGGTGTAAGTTGTATTTTAAATTGTGTGCAAATAAATGGGTTATGTTTTCTGACTATCTAATTTAATACAAATTGTATCATTTCATTCACTCATACAATACGTGCAATGCAAATTTAAGCCTATATCAATGTACGTTATGAAGTAGGTATCTAAAATATGGTAGAAATGACGTTTTTATTGTATTAAATAACGTTATTGGGTAAAAGCTTAAAGTGTTTGAGTTTAAGATTAAGACATTGACAAATTCCCAAGTGTAAGACAAATTTTTTTCCTAATTCTCAATCGTTAAGATAATACGAGTATGGTATAATATAAAAAAATACGTTATTCGAACAATAAATTGTTGTGTTACAGCTACTGAAACTGCATTACGGAAGTTTATCTTGTTTTTACTTTGCCACTGTCACAATACCGATGGCTTTTTAGTTTTTAGGCTTTTCGAGTGTCTGAAGAAAGTTTCTTTTTTATCAGGATTTGTGTAATTTTGTTGGAGGTTTTAGAATTTTTCAAAGACTTTCCTTTGTTCAGTTTTCTTCAACTTGTCTCTAAAAAGTTATAAGTGTAATGGTTGATATTTTATTATATATTTTATTTATAGTAAATACAATGCATTTAATTAAAATTGTTTAATTGCAGGCAATTAAGTATATTATGTTTCTATAGCGCTTTAGGAAATAAAAACATAATATAATACAGATTTAAAAATTGCAATACCAAAATGTTTGGTTAATGTGACGTACTTACAAACACTTTAATTACTTATTAGATTAAATGTATTTTTGTAACTTTTTTTAATACCTTTACATTTTGATATAATATTGCAATGTCACCAGCGTAAATCTTTTTTGTTCTTTTAATAAATTATGCACAAGTGAAAAAAAAATAATCAACTTTTTAAATGTGAGTTATTTTTTAAATCAAGTGCTTCTCAGACATAATCTTTAATTAAAAAGTATTCCGATTAAAAAGTTACCTAATTTCCCAAAGATAAACAAAAAACTGTTTTTTTGGAACATTTAATTGTTGTTTTCATTGATTGTTTTATTTAACTTAAAACAAATTAACTATAAAAGTTTTAATTTACAAGTCAATTTATATACCTATAAAAAGGTAATGCTGTAGGTAATAAACAATTTACAAAAATACGTACATAATAAATACGTTTTTGTTTATCATAATATTATAAGTTTAAATATTCGTTGTTATAGGTTCTAAACTATATCATGAAATGATTAAAATGAGTACCTATTATACAAATTTATGAAATATAATTTTGTTTATGATTCTCAAAATGTATAACTGTTATTTATTATATAAGTATTATTACTATAATATCGATAGTACCGACCTACTTTCAAATATTACAATAGTTGAATAATATTGTTCTCATTAATTATTAGTTTCAAATGTATTTTAATTATATGTTTTGATTATTATTATTAAATTCCGTTCAGATGTTAAATAAGTGGGGTAGCTTTATATTAAAGACCCGTGGCATTTTAATAGTCATTATTATGTGCAGATCGCAGTCAGTTTGGCGTTGGGCACAATATTGTTATAGGACTTTTAAGGGTGTGCGACACACGCGATGGTGTTAAATATCTCAGAATTACCTTTATAGGCAAAACTTTAAGCTCGACTTACTTGAAATTTACTGTAGATCTTAGTTTGGACGGCATTTTACGTATAAATACCTATACCGCACGCGATTACAGTATAACTGTTACGGTGCTGTGAATACTACGGTTCAGATAGATAGTGTGACGGAGGGTGAGTGTTGGGAAATATATGCTGGGGGGGGGGGGGAGACGACCATAAGCAGAAATCTGCTATAGTGATTATATTATATGGAAAACTTTGCCATCCCTGTCTACACTTAACCCTTTTCCCATGCAATTTGCTTGTATTTTCCGTTTCCGCTCTCTATCTTTTATTAACAAAGTTTCGGGCGTTTTCATAACGCCGCCACCCGCCACCGGCCACGGTTTTGATACGCTTGGATTATCCATGAATGGCGGTGGTCGAATGAAATTACGATGTCGATTTGATTTCTAAACGATAACTTTGAAGGGCTCCCTCCGAGAGACAAAGAATCTTATTTCGTTAACTTTTGTACATAGCCTGGTTGTTACGAATTCAACTCCACGTCCTAAACACATATACATACATAATAGGTATATAGGTATATATATATGTATGACTTAATTTAATATTCGTAAAATTAATATTATATTATGTTCGACTGAAAACGCATGTCCAAATTGATCAAATTGAATGCGCGGTAAACTTTCATAGTTTTCATTAATCTTAAATGAGTTTCTTTTCACTGGTACATATATATATATATATATATATACTGTTACAAAAAGAGCTTAATAATATTTCACGATCATGATATCTATTTAAGATTCAATTACAGTACTCATCGAGATCACTGACTGAAATACTAACAAATGAGTCACAATAGATATTTTTGACCGATACGAAAAAAACATTTGTAAAATAGTAAAATATCATTTTGGATTTCAAAGTATAAACTTAACTTATAATATAACAACAATTTGGTTAAAATAAGTATTCATAACTATTGAATACTATCTAAGCAATAGTCATATTGTAAAGATGATTTATTATTTGTTGCTTGTTAACTTGTTACTTGATATTATAAGACATTTTTAAGCATGGCACACTTATAATATGCTGTAGTTATTATTCTTCTAGAAACTAAAAAAAAAAATGTCAAAGTTCCTAGTATTTTTAAGATATTGACTGCTTCGCGATAAAATAAAAATCGAATGAAGTATGACAAATCAAATGTCATCGAACATTTTAATAATTGAAAATAATTTTATCATCCTTGCTTAAACTAAACTGACTCGTACATTTTTAAAATAACAATATACATTAAATTTCAAGTGTATTTTTTTGAGACAAACAAATTGAATTAAAAAGACTGCAAAGAAAGAGGAACATAAATCTGAATTACGGAATAGAAGTTGATATAAGACGGTTTTTTGTTGATGCTGAAACGGAATGTTATTCAAATCACGTAACGGTATGAAGGCGGTTGGCTTATATAACGCAAAGAAGGGTTCCAAAATATCTTCTGATCTACATCAATCTATGTAGGTACTCCGCGAGAACAATTTTTTGTATTAAATCGAGAATATTGTTGTTATAATTTCAAATCCAATATTATACTATTAACTTATCTATTTAAAACACTTTATGTAACTACTTATTACTTGTCTTGACTCATTTGATAGTAAAGTAGAATGTTAAAACAAAAAATAAAATTAAGAATGATTTAATTATTTAAATTAAGTATAATATTGTTGAAGTTATTACTTATTTCCTTATAATTTACATATTATATCTTTAAAACAGATATGGATGTTATTTCAGTTTGCTCAAGTCTGTTAAGGAAAATTAAAATAACAAATATTGTAAATCATGTTATTTTTAAATTACGTTTGTTAAGTTAAAAGTTTTTAACAATTTGTTTCATACATAAGTTTAAATTTTTTATATGATAAAAACTTTTGAACAATTGACATAACTAGTTGGAAATTTAAAAATACTGAAAATCATAGAAATCATAAGGAAATTTCCTATTAACGTATTTAATAAATAATTTAATCAATTGAGATACTAAAAAATAAAGTTTGGTATAATTTGTATGATATTCCCAGACGACTAAATACTTTTGAACGATTAAACAATATTTA